CCGGAGCGCGGTGGAGGCCGGGGGGAGACAGACATGCACACACACACACACACACACATATGCATACATAAACGTATTTACTCGGGCTCAGCATAATATCGCGAGCTTTTATAACCAATAAAAGTTACAGCTGACACTTCTCTTCTCCCTGCGGCGACTGCGATACGCGGCCGAATGCGCGGACACGCTCCTTCGTTCTCGCTCCATCGTCGTCGTCGTCGTCGTCGTCGTCTTTTTCACCGTCCTTCTTGTCGTCGTGTGCGTTCTCCGAGGGCCTCAGAGGGAAGGCTGCACGCGCGGAACGAGGCGATTTATGAGTGACGAGCGACATGGTAACGAGCCTCGCGCGCGATCCGAACAATCGGCGGCTTTGTGCTCGAAGAGCTCTTTGTACCTTCCGCTCACCGCTCCTCCCGGACGATTCTCGCTGGCGTAGCGCGCCTCTTCGCGTGGTCTTAATTTAATTAAGCTGAAAGCTCAACGCCGAAACGTTTCGCACGTTCTTGTTACATCGCGTCGGCAAACTCGTCGGAAAGCGGGAAAGAGAGAGAAAAGGAAAAAGAAAAAGAAAAAACGCGCGCGCGATAGCGGAAATATCCACGACGCGGCGTCTTGCCGACTTGAAGTTTGAAATTTCCGCCCCGCCCCTCTCTCCCACTGTATTAACGAAAGTATAATTCATAATTCATAAGCCGTACTCAACACGGTACTCCGACTTGTACTCGGCGAAATTCACGACGTCTCCGGCCTCGCGAGGCGCGAGTCGGACTTTTCGCGTGATCGGACGATTCGCGTACGCGCAATCCCCGCGTACATATTTCGCCGTGTAATCGCCTTCAAAACAGCGTCCACCACTTACTGCGCACGTGAAGCGCGCGATGCTTAAGGCATCGCACCTCGTTACGGCCGGCCAACGGCTCGCGTCGCGTAATAAACCCTCAGAGGATTAATAAAGAAGCGGGTGATGCGATAAGACACGCGTGCACGCACGCACACGCGGAGCTCGCTCGCTCACGCCACGATCGGCGATGCCCTCTCATTCTCCGACGACGGGAGGCGAGAAGAACGAAGACCATGTTTTCGCGTTGCTGCACCCGCACGAGTCGCCATTGGCAGCCAAACTCTAAATATCAGGACGATAAAGATTTTATGAAGGAAGCCGCGTGAGTCGGAGGGCGGTCTGGCAATTAGAAGTATTTGCCGCGAGGACAGTTAATATCTTTATCCGGATGGCCGATGAGGCATGGGGCGGAGGAGAAAAAATTTTATCGCCGCGGCCGGGAAAGGAGAGCGCGCACGTCGCGAGACGAGCGGAAAGGCCGAGGGGCCAAATAGGGAAGGAGGGCGATAGCGGAGCGCGACGCGAAGTGTCGCATAGACGCGCGGCCCCGGCTATCCGCGCTATCAGAACGCGAGCCACGGCCGCCTCGTTAAAATTACGACCTTATCTTTGCGAAGCAAGAGAGAGAGAGAGAGAGAGAGAGAAAGAGAGAGGAGGGAGCTTCGGGATCGCGTCGCTTCGCGACTCCGTGCCGTTGTGTAGTCATTGGCGGAGAGACCGCGGCACTTCCACGCGATGACTCTCACGACGGGGGAATTTGCTTGTTAATAATCCTCCGAAGATACATTTCTTCAGAAGATAGGTTCTTTTGCGAAAGATAAATTACCTCGGAGGATAAACATTCCCACCGGGCGAGAGTCGGGCGTGTTTTGAAGTTCATTCGTTGAAGGCGAAAGCGCCGCGATGTTTCTTCCATTAGTTGAACGCACTCCGTTGTGCCGCGGAAGGGGGTTACGGAGGATCACGGTAAATATTGCCTCCCCTTCCTCCCCCTCCTCCCTCCGTGAAAACTCCCATGCTCGAGGACGAGTCAGCGGAGGAGACGAGAGGAGCGCGTCTCGCGCTTCGAGCGAGCGGGAGCGCGCTTTTACGATAGTTTTACTGCGCGGAATTAATCAAACGGAATAAAATAACGAGAACGAGAAACGCGCGCGTATACACCTCGAGCGGCGGCGCTCGCGCGACGATGGGATTTATCGTCGCGCGAAGTACCCTCTGTTTACAATTACGCCGGCGCGGCGGACCTTTATTGCTAATAGTCGCGCGAAATTGCGGACGCGCGCTACGCCGCGCTCTACGTGCGGCCACGTCGAGGAAGAGACGAGCTCGCCGCTTTATCGTCGATTATTATCGCGAAATTTGACATTCGCCCCGCCGCGTCGGCGGATGGTCGCGCGATTATTCGCCGAGGACGTGCGACAGTCCCGCTCGCCTCGCTGGCTAACAACGCGCGAGTAGGCGAGTATTGGCTTATGACAGTCCTGGGGAAGAGAGGCGGGAAAAAATCGCGAACAGATATCTGTCTAGTCGAGTAACCGAGACTCGACTGAACGCGCACGCATGGTCGATATCGCCGACTCGGCGGTCCGCCGCGTTTTATTGGCGCTCGTTCTACGAGGTACTACGTGCAATAATTCATACGAGTCTCTTGCGTTAAGATGGCAGCGATATGGGTAATAAAATGCGCGGTGGCAAGAAATGTGATTTTATGATAAATATTAATGTTGCGGCGACGACAGCTCGCCGTGCTCGTAGTCGCGACGACGACGACGACGGCGGCGGCGGCGGCGGCGGCGGCGGCGGCGGCGGCTGCGGGATCAGAGTCCGCGAGATGATGTTAAACGATTGAGGATCCGCATCGGCGTTACTTTCATTGTCCGTGATTAATGGTAAACGTTTCCGCCGCTTTTTACGCGCGACCGCAGAGAGCTGCAGCGCGATGTCAACATCTGCGCTATCAGCCGCGCCGCGGTGTCCCGCGATGTAGGAAGCGACGGAGGTCGATTTACAGTTACGAAGAGACGACGATACGGCGAGGAAACCGGAAACAAGATATTAACGAGGTTGAACGCTTCACTCGCCTGGTGGCACGATTAGAATCGGTCAAATGTGTCGTGCTGAGATAACGGCAGGTTTGGAGGGTGAGAGAAAAAAAATCTCGCTGTCCGTCGTCGTTGAACAAGAGATTAGACGTGCCGCGGTCTACGACGCTGCGCTCGTATAATGTAATTTTCACTCGGAGGATCGGCAAACTCTCGTTTCAGGAAACAATCCTTTCGACGTCGCGCGGAAATAACAGTCTTGGCGGGATTAATATTTGAACGGGATGACCCGCGCGCTCCGCCGTTGATTGCACACACCGTGTACGAGTGGCGCTCACGCCTGAAAGTAATTAAACCGTGAAACGGTCCCGGCGCCGGAGTAAAGTTAGGAAGGTAACGATAGGAAACACCCGTTGAAGGGTTGATAAAGGCCGCGGCGCTAGTTAACGGGAAAACGCTTTATATATCCCGCTCCCCGGAGAATATCCGAAGAAGATAGCGCTTGATATACGATCGCGCAGCCGTATAAATTAACTCGTGGTGACATTTAGATTAATTGTTCCGCGCTCGCGTCGCCCGGGGTATGCTTTTTAGGGGGTAAGGAATCGCGATCATTATTCCGACTGATCTCCCCTGTGCCTGCCCGCCTGCCCGCCTGCTTGCCCAGTGGCTGTACATTCGAGCGAGAGGATTTTTGTGGAGACGTACGCGAGGAATAAATATATCAGCATCTCCGATACGAACGTTCTCGTTCGCACGGAACTCGGCGGCCTCGCGTCGTCGGCGAATATATACGTCTGTAAGTGAGAAATCTCGAGGAAATCAGATAGACAGACTCGTCTGAGGAAAATGCAAAGAATAAGTCAAGCAAAGATCCTCCGCTATTCGCAGTAACGCAAGATATTTGGGGATAACGAAAATTTCGTTGACCTGAGAAAAATATCTCACGTGGTTGAAATATCACAAATTAAAAGAAAAAGTTAAATTTTCTTTACAATTTCAATTTTACCTCCTCCTCTGGCTCGACTCGGTTGTTTGAGCATATTTCGTATGCGCGTGTTTTTGCGTTCTCAGAATCATCGTCAAGAACATGTCGCAATGCTTGGCCACAAGCTGGCTATATCGGGGATCTTCGATTTGATTGCGTCGATTGCGTCGGGGAAGCAAGATCCCCGCGGGCGCCGTACGACAGTGGTATACACGAATACACGAGCCGCGGTCATTAGGGCAAAACGTTCCTTTTGATCTCGTCACGATCGTCGTGTCCCGTAGGAACATCCTGGAAATCGTCGTGTCGTGTCGTGTCGTGTCCGAAGTCCGCTCGCTCCTCTTCTCCATCGTTATTGATATGCGGCGGGTCTTAGGTACGGATAGGGCTGCGGTAAGGCGCCCGCATTGTCCCAACGACCCTCGAGAGAAAACCAGAAGCTGCGAATTATGATAGGGGCCCGGGGGAGCACCCCGGTGTTGTCATTAGTGGCACACGAGGAGCGTAACAACACCGGCGAGTCTCGTCGAGCACGTTTTCGAACTTCCGTTAGCGTAATGCCTCGAGATGGAGGCTTTTGACACGCGGCGAAACATGTTACTTCTCGCGTTACAGCTTGGAGAGGCCCGAAAAGTGAGGCTGCGCAAGAATGCATCCCAGAGAGAAATCACTCTCGTCTCTCGCGTATTGAACCGCGCGAGATTTCCTTTTACGAGCGATTTCGTACGCAGACACGCTCACGTACAACACACTCGTTACTTCCGCTTGGAAATTTAGTCGCGCCGCTTTGCGATCTAAAGTCCACATTTAAGCGTTCGTCGCTCGTTTCTGTTTTTCTTATCGGAAGAGCGGGGAGGGGGGGCGGGGCGAAACGCTCGAGTTTCAGAACACGGAAAAATTATATTTAATTTTAATGAGTATCGAAACGAAGTTTCCGCCCGAGGGTTTCCGCAATCACGTAAACGACGCCAATTACATGTCGAGGCAACCGTCGACGCCGTAATTACCTTTCGGTCCATTTAAAGTTAACGGCAACCCCCCGCTGGATTGCCGCTGCAAAATTTTCATCCTCGTCGAGTCGCGACGTATCTTTCATCTTGGTTCTTTTTTTCTCTCTCTCTTCTCGCAGCGGACGCCGCCAGCCAACCGATGGCGAGGAACAGCAATTTCCTGAGGAATATCCGGATTTACGGGGCTCCTCGAGGATATCGAACAAATTTAGCGCGAAACACGTAACGAACGAGTTCCGTGGCAACGGGCCGGAGGGACGAAAGTGCCGGAGCAGAAGGAGAGAGAGAAGGAGAGGAAGAGAGAAGAACGAGCTACCGCGCACGCATATATACGGTGAGTAGAAAACTTTAACTACCTCACAGCTCATAACCCCGTTATGACCCGCGACACAGTGTATAACGTATCTTCCGCGAGCGAGCGAGCGAGCGCGCACGCACGCGGTGCTCTCTCCCCCTCGTCGCTTATTATTTTCTTGCCTGGGATTCTCCGGGCAAATATTGTCTAGACATTAATGTCCGAGCACTCGCGGCTATCTCAGTTGTGTTATCTCAAGCGAGACACTTTCCGGATTCGAGAACGGCGACTAGAAACGACGACGACGACGACGACGACGACGACGACGACGGTGACGGCTTAAGCCGACCGCGGGCTATGAGAGAGTTGTGGGAGAAAGAGAGGAGAGGAGAGGGAAGGGCGATTTTCCGCCTCGCTATCGGCCCGGCTACCAGACGACAGCCACTTTTGTCGCCGATCTCACGTGTCGCTCTGCGGATCTCTGATTCTCCTCGTAAACCTCAAAGGCGGAGAGATTGCTCGTGGGCGATCCCCTCGGCCTTGCTTGTTATGTCAGCACGGAGGGTTGCGCCTTTCTGCCGACCTCCCCCTGCGTCCTCGTTCAATGGATTTTTTCTCTCCCGATTTTTCTCTCCTCCCTTCTCCCTCTCTCTCTCCCTCTCTCTCTCTCTCTCTCTCTCTCTCTCTCTCTCTCTCTCTCTCTGCGGGCGTCGACCAGATTCCGAGTGCGAGAGTAACAAGCTCCCAGCATCCGAGAATATCTTCCGCAAATTTATTTATGGGCGTCGCGAGGCGGAACGGCGCGCATTGTGTACCGAAGACGGTCTTACACAAGGCGCATCGCTACGTGCCACGTACGACGGCAAACGACGAACTTATTCATGAGCGGATTTAGGGGCCCGTGGCGGTTGTTGTTTGCTTGTTTACTCATGTACCTAGCTTGATGTATTATTAGGCGCTTACGGAGAGCATCACACTGCCGGCGATATTATCTTGACGCGAGATACGCGAGTGTGCGTGCGAACGCGGCCGCGCGCGCGCGCGCGCGTGTGTGTGTGTGTGTATTCGCGCGTCGCGGAATGCAGAATACATTTATGTGGAATTGATTCGCAGGACGTAATTCTAAGACATGGATTACGTATCGTAGCGTCGTAACGTATCGCGCGCCGTAACATTCTTCCGATACGACCATTGCGATATCTCCGTGTATATCACGTCGCTGATAAAGCGCGCCAACTGCGAACACGTGCGAGCGAAGCGTCCGCTTTGACGTCTCGCGGCTGCACTCGACGAAAAATCCGCGAATCGCGCGATCAAGAGTGTTCCGCGCGACGTCCCTTTAAACCAGCCGAACGGAACGGAGCGGAGCGTTTTAAGCGATGATTCAGCTGTGCGGATTGCGAGTATACAGATAGACAGGCGGGCGGGCAGAGGGAGGAGACCCTTTCGTCAGTCAAGGAAGCGTCAAAAGCTGCGACCATCCCTTGACAGCCACTTTAAAATTACACCGATAATGAAATCGAGGTCTTCCCCTCCCTCCTCTTCCTCTCTCTCTCTCTCTTTCTATATCTCTCTTTTCTCTCTTCTCACCCCCTTATTTCTCTTTCTCTCTCTCTCTCTCTGCCACTTGTAATTCCTAAGTCAAACCCCGCGAACAGATCGAGGAACAGATGCGGGGACAATGGCGAGTAGATCGTCGGTGCGAAATGAATTTAAAGTCGGGATTTAAGGGCGCTGACGACACACTAAACACCCTCCCCGCGCTCGCGCTCAGTCGCAATTATTACAAGCCGATCGGTCGTAACAGATATTGTTAGCCTCCCGATGGAAAGGGGTGCGTTCGTCGCGGCGCGCGGGAACGTCGGGGAGTGTCAATGGTGCCGCGGTGTCGACTCTGCTGTGTCTGGTCGAACGTAAACTCCGCCAATAGCCAATTACCAAACGAGCCGTGAGCGTTTCTTTCCTTTATCGTCGACTATGCGCGATCCTATCCTTCTCGTTTGCCCCCTCCGGGAAACCGACAAGAAAAAGAACAAGAGAGGACAACGATGTCGTTAACTTCGATGAGCTCGCCGGAGTTTCGCGAGCGCGCTTGCCGAAGAGAAAACCGTTTCCCGACGCCGAGCGGAATACCGCGGCATATTATATCGTTACTTCAAGCTTATCAAGTCTTTGAGCCAAGTCGCACTTGGACAGGTGGGGAACGTCGCGTCGACAGGCAGAAAAAGGAACGAACTCGGAGCAAAGATGCAGTAGCCGAAAAAACAGCCCGCGCAATCGCGCGGGCGCGAAGTACTATCGGCCGAGGACTATCGCGAGTTATAACCAGGGCCCGGGTCGACGAGAACGTTGGCGTCTTCTATATGTTTTTCGCCCGAGTACATAAAGCGCGCTCACGCATGCACTTTGGCGCGCGAACGGCCGCGCAGCGCGCCGCGATTTCCCAAGTTCGCGCGTAACTTCGTCCTGTCCCATTTAGCGCGGGAGATTTAACACTTCCACCACGTGCTTTACGATACACAGATACATGCACAGTACCTGTCTGCCCGCTCGCCCGCGAGCGCCGGTTACGAGTGTGGGTGGAGACGAGTAGACTGGTTGTGCACGGCGCGTATATACATATCCAGCAGCAGCAACAGCAACGGCAACGGCGGCGGCGGCGGCGGCGGCGGCAGAGGCGGAGGCGGAGGCGGAGGCAACGGGCGTTATGCATGGGGTGCCATTCCGGCGCGCTTTAACACCCGTATATAAGGGTGAAATTACACCTCCGGCCATCGCTGTATTTTCGGAACTTGATTAACGCCGCCGTCCCGGCCGATTATGGCGCTACGTGACGAGATTAGCCGGACTCGTCGCGAAACGTCGGTGCTTGTCGTCTGATTAGCTCCCTCCGCTCGGTCCTGCCCTCCCCCCTACTCTCGTTTTTTCCTTCGACGCGGGTAGTCTCGCGATCTCGGCGGTATTCGCCATCGCCGAGAACACATGTGCGGCCGCTTGTTTTCGAGCAGTCGAAGTTGATCGCAGGTGATGGCAATTGCTTTCTCCGCTGAGAGCTCGATAGCACGCGATGAGACGCGGATTTCCAAGAGTGAGGGAGAGAGAGGGGGAGGGGCGTAATGTAATCGGTTACGGAGGACACGAGGAGACGCGGGGCGAGAGAGTGGGGTGTGAGCGGGGGTGGTGATAAAAGCAATAAAAGCGCTGTTTCGGCGTCCATAAAGCGCGCACTATAAATAACGTATAGCTCAATCTGCTGTTATGCAAGCATCGATGAATCGGCAAGGAGCTCGCGGCGGCTCCTAACGCCGTCGCGACGACGGCCCGAAACAAACGTCCTACCCCGTCCCGACGCGCGAGCAGACGCGGCGCTTCTCCGACCCCGCGTGAGAGCAGATCTTCCGCGTAAGGATATAAAAATTGTCATTTCCATTTTGAAATTCGACGCGCGTAAGCGGGCGTGTGTCGCGCCCAGTCACACACGCGCGGCCGGTGATGTCCCCGGCGCGGCGGGGGCGTTTTTAGTATCGCGGGGGTGCCAGGCGATAAAAATCGCGAAACATTATACAGATTTGTCGGTCGGGCTGCTTTTACGATTTTTCTTCGTCGCCGTGCGCCGTCGAAAAACCAACGCCAGCCGAGCTAACCGTCCGAATCTCTTTCTCTCTGCCTCTCTCGCTCTTCTCCGTCTCTACCCACCCGGCGCGAGTCTCCCCCCTTTCCACTTTTTATTCCCATAATTTAATTATCCCGGCTTTATGACCGGGGACTAGCTCTAGTGGGTTAGATCCGGCGACCATAACGCCTCACATAAATTCAGGCGAGAGATATCCCGTTTACTTCGCCCGGATCTCTTCCTCTCCCTCCCTCTCTCTCTCTCTCTCTCTCTCTCTCTCTCTCTCTCTCTTCTCGCGGATATTCCCCATAAACGACAGTTCGACCGAAGAACAGCGCGGCGTAGACGTCTACCTTCGACCCTGCCTCGACCAATTTGCTGGACGTCGCGCCGACCCGTTTAATCGGGACCCCGTGATTCGACTATAAATTTATGAGCTACGTCTCTCGCTATAACTCACACGGCGTGATAAGTTGAGGAGCGCGAGGAGTTGTGAAACTCGACAATAAATAATGACGTGTCGCAATTCAGCTGGATGCAGCCATCGCGATTGTAGTACGCGATAGACTTTTCTCTCGTACAGAATTCCGTCTTTTCACACATTTGTGTATTTAGATTATATATTATATTTACATATTTGTGCATACATTGTATACCTTCCGCGCTGTGTAAATTTCTACATAATCGTATTTCACGCGTAAAGAGCGATGTCCAGCGTTAAACAGATTCGAATTTACGACGCGTGGTCGTCGTTTCGCGTGACGGAAGATCCCCCGACGCTATCAGGAGCTCCCGATGTTACCAGGGCTCGGGATAATTAAAAAATGAGCGCGACGCGCGTTCCGCCGCGCACGAGCGCGAAAGTTTCGCACGCGGCGATCGAAGGGTGGCGCGAAGGGGGCGAGTACGCCCTCGTGTAACAGCACGCTTCGGTGCGCGTCGGCGCTGCCAGGTGGTCTGGCCGCCGGAAACGGGACTCGGATATCTCGAGGAGCGTCCCCGGCTGAAGCGGCGAATGGAAATGAGGTCGAAGCATCGAGAGTACTCCGTCGCGTCGCGACGGAGCGCGTGTGCCGGAAAAAGGGGGAGCGCGGGCGCACGCGGCGATGGGATAATAGCGAATCAACGTGGCATCGTGATGAGTAAAGAACGCACTTTTCCTCGTCACCGGCGCCTGGGACCGGCCACTTGGAAAGTTCGCTTCGACTGTTGAGTAATCGTGCTTGACTTTGCTGGAAATTCGCGGAGAAACCAATCGCTACTCACCGGCGAAACGGTCGTCTTTGTTGTTTACGACTCTTCGCCAAGAGGGATTACTTGTTCGACGAGCAATATGTTTCCACTCGGATGCGACGAGATTAAACTTGAACCGTAATGAGTGAGGAGTGCATCTCCCTTCAGCGTCTCGAGCCTCGGTCGA